CTGAGTCTCCCCCAGTTTACTCGGGAGCTTCTGAAAGCTTAGATCTGGTGTTTGAGGCAAAGGCAGGGAGTGGGGGCTGGGGCTGGGGATTGGAGCTGACAAGGAAAACCAGTCCCCTGGGAGACCTGGCTCAGGAATTAGGGAGTGCACTGAATGAATGTCTAAACCAGTGAGACTCCCTTAGCAGCCCCACTCGGCCCTGCACTGTGTGCCAGCCTCCTCCTAAGGGAGTCTCCCGGTGCTCTGTTGCCGGCAGTCCCTGCCCGTGCCCGGATTTCGGCCACAGCACCGTTTTCCCAGCTTCAAGCTGGCTTCATCCTACATAGCTCTGCTTTATACTTCACTTCTAGGGAATTATGCCATTGTCATATTAGGGCTCACGTGGTCTGTTTTGTTTCGTCTTTTTGTTGTAAGGCTACTGTATGTTCACTCTGATTTCTGCCCATAATGTTGCTATAATGGCGGAATTGTTCAAGTGGCACCTGCGAGCATCTCTAGACCGTGCCCTCTGCTGGCAGGCAGCTTCCATGATGACCCCCAATGGTTCCTGCCGCCTGAAGCTCGCACTCATGTGTCACCCTCCCACCCCACCTCGGGGTCGGTCTGTGTGACAGGTGGAATTCCACAGTGTTAGACGCCGTGTCAGGTGCTATGGACAGGACAGTGCTCTGCAGCCTTGACCTCGTGGGACTTACAGACCTTGCAGCACAGTATACAATGGGGACAGCATGGACTCTGGAGCAAGAGGGAACTGGCCGAATCTCAGCTTCTCCACTCGGCTTTGTGACTTTGAGCCTGTTCTTTAACCTCTCTGAGCCTCTGTTTCCTCATCTTTAAATCAAGCAAAGTAATTCCACCTTGGAGAGTTTGGTGAAGATTACGTGGGACAGTGTATATAGACCACTGAGCAGTGGTGTCCAGACTTCCAATGTTATTCTTCCAGTTGGGCCAGGAGCTGAGGACATTGTGTCGAATGGGAGGCCGTCTGCCATCAGGGGGCCCAAAATCGAGGGGATGGGAAGGATAGAAGTTCAAGACAGACTGTGACAAATGCTGTAACAGAGATAAAAAGGGCAGGCAATGGCAACTCAAAGGAAAGCCTAGAAAAAGCTTCCTAGAGACTGGGTGGCATTTTAACAAGCCTTAGAGGAGAAGCAGACTTTTCATCAATGGAGTAGGGTGAGAGCGTTGCAGGCAGGAAGAGGAAGCCCTGAGATGACGTGGGGCATACAGCCTCCGGGTGTGAAAAATGAACTGGACGGGCACCAGCCGAGTGCTCTGGCTCCCGTCGCTTCCCTGCTGTGGGCTGCAGTCTCTGGTCTGCAGGCTGCAGCCGTTGAACTATTGCAGACAGTCCGTGTTTCTTCCAGCCTATGTTTTCCATGAGAGCAGGGAATGTTGCTTTCCTCACTACCAAGTTCCAGCTCCTAACACATGGCCGGCACTCAATAAATATTTATTAAGTGAGTAGGTATAATCATATGTGTGAGCAGCTTGTCCCAAATGAGAAAATCAGGGAAGTCTTTTTTCATTTACTTGACATAAGTCACTTCCTTCAGGGACATGTGTGGTGGCAGTTACTCCGACTACATCATGTCACCGTGTTTTTGTCAGAGTCCTTCTACGACTCTGTGCCTCCCATTTCCTGGCTGTGCCCCCTGATTCTTCCTTGCATTCCAGAGTCTAGCTGCGGGCTCCTGCTCAAACTCTGAAGCTCCCGACACTTTCCCGAGCCGTCTTCAGCACTCAGCCCTGCGTCCTCAGGCCGGGTGGGGCAGACTCAGCCAACGCTGAAGGAGCTTCACATCTTTTCCTTCATTTAGTTAACTTCCGTTTTGGTTCTGGGGTCACTTTGAAACCAGAGCTCATTGGAGAATTTCTAATGCCATTGAACTACTGTGCCCCAAGACAAGGGCTGGCTGGTGGAGAGACTGCAGCGAGGGGGCATAGGCCTTGGTGGCTCCCGCCTTACCCTGTTTTCACTCAGGTCCTCTCCCCAGGCCAGTACTTAAGACCTTCATGCTGTTTTTGTTTTGTTTCTCCTCCCCTGGGACTCCTGAAGCACATCGTCCCCTGGGACTTTGTTCCAACGGCCTTCTTCTTTCAAAAGTCATTTAGGGTTCCATTTCCTCAGAGGTCTGATGTCTCTTCTGTTCTGTTTACAAGTTCAACACACAGTGTGATTCCTGTCTTGTGCCTGGATCTGTCACAAGTTCACAGGGTGCACAGATGAATGAAACACGACTCCTGACCCCTGGTCCTGCTTTCTAGGATGAGAGTCGTGGAGACGACAAACTAAACAGTGCAGAACTATATCAATGGACAGTGCCTTTTCAGTCCCTAAGAAGATTTATTTGCATTTTACCAGGAGCTTGTTGAAAACAGTGGCTTACCTTCAAAGATTAAAAAAAAAAACAACAAAACTTAAAACATTTTTTAAAAAGAACAAAACCTTTAAAGCAGTGCTTATTAATTGTTGAACATTTGGAAAGCGATGAAAAATATAAAGTAGGGTGCAAACTTTTCAAGGATCTCACTGCCCAAAGGCAAAACAACATTGGCATATTTTCCCATCTTCTTTTTCATGTGTTTGAGAGCCTGTGTTTACATAATTTTGCATGCCTCTTCTGTTGCTGGGCACTGTCCCCACCATTTTGCAGTTTCACCAGACACTGAGGAGCGATGCTAGTGGCAGGGGTTTGTCAGCAAGCAGGAGTGCTGAATTTACTGGCACAGAGACGGAGGGCAGTCTCTGTAAGAACGTACCCTTTGCTGCCAGCTTCTAAGGCAAGCCCTGCCTCCCTGCCAGTGCTTCCGTAGATAGCCTAGCATATTTGTGACTCAGCTGACCTGCTCGGCCCTTCTCTGAAGAAACAGCATCCTGGGCTGAAAGGTGTGAGCATTTCCAGTTTTCAGATCCTCCACCTCTTCCCTTCCCCCACCCAGATTTCCCTAGTCTCCAGCGAGCGATAATATCATTCATCTGAGCCTCTCTCCCTGCCTCCAATGACTGTCTCCCCTGATGAATTCTCTCTGGGTGACTTTGGCATTTGCATATTTCCTCGCTTGGATATTCTGAGATGTCGGAACCACAGACCAGGTTGATGCGATCAGGTACTTAGCTGAATGAGGCTTTCCCGAGAACTGCACAAATATTTGGAGTCGGGTGTGTGCCAATAGGCAATTAAATGAAATATGGACACAGCATGCTTCTGGAGGAGGGAGCCTGAAGTTGAGAAATTAGCTGTGGGAAGCGATCCTCTGCAAGATACAGAGCAGCAATTTGGGAATTTCCTTAACCCCAAACTGAAATAGATTTGGTACAGAAAGAGAGAAAAAACAAACAAAACAAAACAACAAGCACAGGATCAAGGTTGACTCTTGCATCACTACAGCTGGAAAGCGTTCTCACACACAACACTGGTCTGACTCTCCGGGAGAGTGAGGAGAGCCCCAGGTCAGTGGCGAGTGGGAGGAAATTCAAAACCAGAAGCAAGATGTCCAGACTCCAGCCCAGGGCACTTTCTATTTTGTACGTTGACTGACTACGTGGAGACCTGGATAATCACATCAAGAGCAAAAGGGCAAGGACTGCGATTTAAGTGTTTTCCTGTCACCAGTGACTTCATGAATACGTTTAGTAAAATCCATAACAAAACCAAGGTACCCACTGACTACGCCTTAACTCAGGAACGGAAGCACATCTGACCAAACTTGAGGGAGTTTCTGCTCCAGGTCTGGCTGCCTGTGGAGCCCTGGGGAAGGAGGTGATTACAGAGGGGGTCCCTGATCCCCACCTGGCAGGTTAACCCGATCCCAGCAGGAGCCCGGCCTCTTGACTACCCTCCAACAGTCTGAACCCTCTGACTACCCTCCAACAGTCTGAACCCTCGGGACCCACTCACACTTCTCTGTCTTCCGGGAGGATGGCCCATCCCCTAAGATTTGTCTAGACGATGTATAAGAAAGAGCGGCTCTGACCATGGTATTGCTTTAGGATTCAGTTTGCTTTAGGGTGATACGAAAATCACCTTTTTGTTTTCCAGGTACATGGGGCCAAAGTGATCATGTTTAGTTCTCCCCAGAGGGGTGTCCAACCTGCAGCCCACAGGCCACATGTGGCCCAGGATGGCTGTGAATGAGGCCCAAGCCCAAATCATCAATTTACAGAAAACATTATGAGAGTCTTTGATGGTTACATGTCACAGTGTATTTAGTGTGTGGCCAAGGCACCTCTTCTTTTGCTGGTGTGGCCCAGAGACGCCAAAAGGTTGGTCCCCCCCCCCCCGACACGGTTCTCAAAGTGTTGTCCCTGAACCAGAGGTATTAGCACCACCTGGGAACTTTTCTGAAATGCACATTCTCAGGCCCCACCCCGGCCCTGCTGCGTGAGAAACGCTGGGAGAGGAGCTCCACAGTCTTCGTTTTCACAGGCCACCCAGGGGGTTCCGATGCCCAGCTTTGAAAACCATTGCCCCCGAAAATTATTATCTGGAAATCTGGGCTGCCACAAGCCGGCATGAAGGAAGTAACCTATTTGGGATTATTGGGCCCTTAAGAGTAAAGTGTCTTCATGTCACAGTGCCCACATGAACCGTTGCTATACATTGCGGAGTGTCAAACTGGAAAGGATTTCCAAGTGATTCTTTGAAATTTAACTGACCAGCACAGTCAAACCCAATTCCAGCAGGTACAATATTTCTATACTTTAAAGTTTCACGGAGCGACTAAGTTAATCAATTGCTTAATCTGTTATTTTTAGAATTTCACTTCCTTACCTCATGCGAAAGTTTATTCAAATGGGAACATTTTATTACCCCAAAATGTTTTCCTGTATACTTTAACAGGTTACTAAGGAAACCAGTTGCAACGTTGCCGCGATATTGTTGCTCAGACAAATTAACGATTCAGCAACGTATATGCCATACTCCACTGGTTTTTTTTTTCTCTCTCTCTCTGGAAAATTTCACACTTATTGAATTTATACATTTATAATACAGGACATTGGAAGCGACGGGAGTAAAGCTGTAAAAAGAAATCGGATTCCAGGGTGACGGAGGATATTTCTCTGGGATGCGTTTCGCGCTGTTGGAGCGGAGGCAGAACCAGGTGATTTTTCATCCTGTGTTAGGGGCGCCTCTGCGTGGGGAAGCGGAAGGAGGGAGAGCAGCCGCATCCCGAGGGCCCTCTGGCGTTGAGCCGTGGGGGGCTCTCACTGGAGAGCAGCGCCAGGGAGGACAGGACCGAGGCTGGGCGTGTGGTACAGTGTGTGCCGATCACACGTTTAAGGAACCAACCGACATCGAAGCATGAGATCATCCGAGCTTCTGAGAAGGCACCGGGAGATGGGGGATACGCACGGTGGGAGGCCTCCTGCTTTTTCTTTCTTGATGGGGGAGGAGAGGTTATTAATGATGGGATGGATTAGAACAGATGGGTACTTTTGACACATTTCCCCATGTTGTCAGTTTCCAATTTCCCATCTTCCCACCACCTAGTCATGTGCCTTTCTCTTGGTTAGGAGTGAAAGCAGCTGACCTTTGAAAGAAGCCTGAGCGGGGGTGTGGTGGACGCGGAGACACTGCCATATTCATCTCAGGGCAGGCTCAGCAGATCTGGAAGGTCTTCCCGGAGCCTTTGCTGGGAGGGGAAAGGGAGAAGCCATTGCGGGCGCACGTGCTTTTGGACGCTGCGTTCAAAGGCGAGCCACGTGACTTCCCACTGGCGCCCTCTCAGCTTCACTCCTTCCCAGCAGCCATCCCTCCCTTCCTTCCTGATTGCAGGTACCTTTCTGCAGCCTGGAGATTTGCATTGTAAATGGTGTTTGTTAGGCCCCTGAAATAATATTAATCATTGTAAAACAATTATGTCGCATAATTTGTACATAAAAAAGAAAGAATGAACCTTGGGCTTGAATTAATATTTCCTTGTCTCTATCTTTCTCACCCCCACAAGTAATGAGACCCTTGTCTGCCCTTCTAAGGGAGAATGACTTTGGTGAAGTAAAGCTACCTGCCTTCGAATGGCTTCTTGAAATGATGCAATGTCAGGGGGGAACAGGCAGGGCCTCTGGGGAAATGGATATCTGAGCATCCTGTCACTTGACCCTTCGTGCAAGAGGAGGAACCAAAAATGGGCACCACAGGGGTGGGCAAAGGGAAGCTCTGGAGTGCAGAGCAACAGATTGGCAGGGCTCTCTTCCCAGCCTCTGCCTGTGAGTCCTTGGGTCCACTTCTGGGTAAGCTGCCCTCAGAGACCAGAAACCTCAGGGAGTTGCGACCCACCCTTCACATCCACTATAATAGGTTCAATACTGGCTCCCCCAAACTTCTGTCCATGTCCTAATCTCTGGAACCTGTGAATAGGACATTGGGTCTTATAGGACAGTGGGGAAAAGGGTCTTTGCCGATGTAATTAAGCTAAAGCCTCTTGAGAGGAGATCTGAATGTCACTGTGTATTATTCGGGTGGGCCCTGAACCCCGCCCGTGACAGGTGTCCTTGTAAGGGATGGAAGAGGGGAAGACGCAGACGTAGTTGGAGAAGGCCATGTGGAGATGAGGGCAGAGATGCAAGTTTGCAGCCACAGCCAAGGACCTCCTGTGAACGCCACAGAAGCTGGAAGAGGGAGGGGAGGACTCCCTGCCGGAGCCCTCAGAGGGAGCGTGGTCCCGATGACACCTCGATTTCAGACTTCTGGACCCCAGAACTACCAAGAATGCATATATTATTTTAAGCCATGAAGTTTGTAGTAATTTGCTACAATAGCCCTAGGAACTAACACACGCAGCATGCCCCACCCCTTCCCACACCCTCCCACAGAAGTCCTTGGCTCACATTTTGAGATTAAGCCACATTCTCTGTAACTGCAGTCATGGCTGGGGGCCCCGGAACACACCTGTGCTCATCAGATTGCTGTGCTGTGAGGGTTCTGTGTCCCAGGCGATTCTCCCAGGAACTCAGAAACTGAGCACTGAGCATGGAGAATTTCACTAGCAGGTCACTCTGATGCACAATTTAAGACGGGAAATGAGGGCTTGCACCTGAGGCAGGATTAGAGCAGCTTCAGCAGCTACCATTTTGGACTCTCTGCTTCTTTATCAAATCTCATCGGCTCATGGCCAGATTTAGCACCTACCATTCAGGACAGTACACACTTACGTTTTATTCTTATTCAAGAGAGAGGGGAAGGGAGAGAGAGAAACATCCTGCACACACCTCCACTGGGGAATCAAACCCACAAGCCACAACCCAGGCATGTGCACTGAAACCGAATTGGCAACTTTTTGGTATATGAAATGATGCTCCAACCAACTGAGCTACCTGGCCAAGGCAAGACAATATATGCTTTAAAAAAAAAAAGATTTTACTTATTTATCTTTAGAGGGGAAGGGAAGGAGAGATGGAGAGAAGCATCAATGTGTGGTTGCCTCTCACGAGGCCCCCACTGGGGGACTTGGCTTGCAACCCAGGCATGTGCCCTGACTGGGAATCAGACCTCGATCCTTTGGTTCACAGGCCTGTGCTCAATCCACTGAGCTACACCAGCCAGGCCTCACATGCTTTAAAAATATTAGTATTATGTGTTGAGTACATATGTGCCAGCCACTGTGTTAATAATTTTATATTTATGATTTCACTTATCCTTGCAGCAAGGCCAGAGGTACTAGGTGTTGTCATCCTGATTTTGCAGATGAGGAAACTGAGGCCCAGGGACATTTGGTAATCCTCCCATAGTCGAGAAGCCGAGAGCTGCAAAGCCAGCCTTCCTAGCCTGGGTGCCTTTGACTCCACAGCCCCTCGTCCCACTAGCACTCTGCTCTGAGAAATGCAGCCCGGTGAGGGGACACACATCTACCTGTGCCCGCTCTGGGCACTGATCCTCAAAGAATGCAAATATTTTTGCAATTGAGGCCATTCAGCTTGGGCTTTTCAAACACGCTGCACATTTTTTTTATTGGGCCTCCAGGGGGCATTTGGGGACAGATTCCAAGCTGAACTGTATCTTCCAAAAGACGCATCCTGGCTTGGTTAGGACTCTGCCTTCACATTCAAGTTCATATGCCTGAACATCGTATATAAGGCTATTCATGGTCTGGCCCCTACCTGCCTCTCCAACCTCATCTCCCTTAAAAACCTCCTCTCTCCCTCTTGCAATCGATTTAGCAACTGTTCGAGCTGCTTTCAGTTTCTCGTGGGTCTCGTCCTTTCACGGGACTCCTGTCCTCTGTATAAGCTGCTTCCTCTGCTTGGAATTCAACCTTCCTGCTTCCCCCCACGTTCAGCCCCTGTCTATCCTTTGACTATTCTACTTGGTTAACTCCTATTTATCCTCTAGGTCCCAGCCTAGTAGTCAACCACTCCAAGAAGCCTCCCTGGGTCATCTACGTTTGTGGGAGGCCCCATGAAGGGCTCTCATAGCATCCTTCATCTCCCATGGCAAAACAGACTGCTTTGCATTATAATCATATTGTCTGTATCCCTCACTTTGCTGTAAGTTGAGAGGTTGAGGGCAGGAACTGTGTCTGCTTAGGCCTCCGTTGTACCCCCTGGTGCTCAGCCCAGGGCCTGGCACAGAAGAAGCGTCTGTAAGTATTTGTGAAATGAATGGGTTAAGAGTGCCAGCGATGCCTTCCTGGATCATTAGGCTCAGAGCTATGTCATTGATTAGGACACTGGGGAATGTTACATTAAAGGGCATAACTATCTGGCCAGTTGTCAACCTCAAAGGTTAAGGATGTTCTCAGAATACTCTAGGTTGTTTGGCAAGTTGCTACCCACAACTTCATCTAAATCATTTGGACAAATTTTAGCATTGAAGGAGATGGAACTATCTGGTGTTTTCAGTTTTCTTTTTCTTTGTGAGTATATCTTTAGTTTGACTGCTTAGAGTAATGATTTGCAAAAGCTGACCACCCACTACTTAGGGTAGCAATTTCTGTGCTGTGTCTATTTTAAAGAATTACATTTCTTGGGGGTGACATTGGTTAATAACAATATATAATTTCAGGTGTACAACATTATAATTCAACATCTATATACTCTATTGCATAGATACCACCCGAAGTCCAGTTTCCTTCTGTTACCATATATCTGACCCCCTTCACCCACTTGGTCCTTCTCCCAGCCCCCTTCCCCACTTGGTGACCACCATTCTTCTCTGTTGTTTCTGACTTGACTCCTCCAAATGTAAAAGAGAGCCCCTAATTCAAGTACCTAAGGAGGGCTGAGTGTGGCCTGTTACTAAGTCTCCTTGCTGACTGTGGATTTGGATCCTGCCCCTTCTGAACCTTCCAGCCATGCTCAGTAGGGGTCATTTCAGTCTGTCCCCTGCTCTTCCTTTGCTCAACACACAAAGTCACTGTCATTTAGGTTCTTTCTGGCCTTCTCAAAGGGCAATGACTTTGCCCAGAATTACAGAGCCTGGTTAAATGTGCTGGGTTTTGGGAACTGTTGGACTTGGTACTTGGTAAAAGACCAATGCTCTGTGGCTGATACAGGAGAAGAAGCCCTGGACTGGGAGTCAGGAGGCCTGGGTTCTTGCCTGGCTCTGCTTGGTGGCCTCTCTGGGCTCCAGACTCTTAATAAGTGAAGTTAGGATAATCATTGTGAGAATAAAAAGAAACGAGGTGTGAAAGTGAACTGGAAGGTGTACAGGTGTGAGGGCAAGCGGCACATAGTAAGCACTTAGGTAACGTCCACTGAAGGGTGTGTCCCATGTCTGTGGGTGGTTTGTATTCATATCCGTGCAGCCAAACAGAGCCTTCTCTTTGGCTTTTGAGACCATGGAGAGCAGGACATTCCCCCTCCCTCGCCTTGTCTTCCAATTGTCTTTCCTCTCCCACTCAAGACAGTGAGAACAAAGGGCAGATTCCATGGCATGCTCAGAATGGAAAGGCCCATTTCAATTTTTTTGGCTTCTTGTCTGAAGCCTACCCTGCAATTGATACCAGACTACCTTTGCACACAGAGAAAATGGGGAGTCCACAATGGAAGCTGATGAACACAGAATGTGAGAATGATTGAGTCAGACAGAGGAGGGAAGGGAATGAAGGAGGAAAAGGGAGAGAAAAAAAGGGAAAGAGA